CCCCCCCCCCCCCCCTACAGTGTTCAGGAGTGCAAATTGACTATTGAGTATTGATTTTGAGCAGACCGTGTCTCAATATCATTCTATTCTATCAAGTTGCTAACAATTTTAAAAAGTAGCGAATAGCGATTCGCCGTTTGAAAAGTAGCCAACTACTTGGCTACTTTTAGGCAAAATGTAGTTCGCTATAAGTCCTATAACTATAAGCTACTGTTTTAAAAAGTAGTCAAAAACTAGTACTGGCTACTTGAAAATTGTAGTTCGCTACAGTAGCGAACTACAACTACTTCGCTACCACCCACCCTTGATTTTAAATCAGCGAAAACAGCTGTTAAGCCGGTTTTCCACTAAGCGGAGGAATCACAGAGGAGGAGTCATAAGACAAAGAAAAATTCCGCTCCGCGCGAATCCGCGCGCAAAATTCCGCCTAGTGGAAAACCGGCTTTAAAATAGACTGGTTTTGTGCACCGTGTCTCTCCTCTATTTTTCCATTCAACCACTTTGATAATGACGACTAATTCTTGTTGGCTCTCCACGAATCGAATAGTGAATTTACATTTAATATTGATCCCTCCTTTAAAGACTTAATATTTAATCCAATCTCCGAAACCTTAACAAATATCAATAATTTGGACTCTGACGAGCATTTCTTTAACTCGTGTATCTCAAACAACAATAATTACCTTCTTGAGGATACCTTTGTTTCTGAACACTCTAACAAATTCGATCAATTCTCACTTACTCATTTCAATGTTCGTAGCCTTCCGCATAATTTTGATAAATTTACAAATTACCTTAATTTGTTACAGTTTCCTTTTTCAATAATTGGCGTCTCTGAGACTTGGCTGACATCTACTAACATAGCTCAGTGTGAGCTTGATAATTATAAATTAATAACACGTAACAGTATTAACAGACAGGGGGAGGCGTTGCTCTTTATATTAGGAGTTTGATTAATGGTCGAGGGTCGAGGGTCGAGCGTAATAGGTCGAGGGCGAGGGTAGAATGTCGAGGGTCGAATACCATTGCACATACGTATCACACTTAATTAACTTGCTTTAGCCCAACGTCAATGTTTTAGCCCTATTATGGAATTTGCCATGGCGCCAGGGGCGTAGCCAAGGGGGGGGGGGCAAGGGGGGTGCGGTCGCCCCCCCCCCAATCGCAAAAAAACTATTCTCTGAAAAAGGCTAAATCCGTAGAGAAATGGGGCGGGGGGTACACGTTACATCCTCGAAGCTGAAACGGATTAAGCACGTCTCGACTGAGGAAAACGACGAAATACTGGAAGAACTTGATTTCTAAAATCTCGTTAAAACAGTTGTAGATATGGTTCCAAGAGGAATAGATTTAGTTTAGATTTACATGTATATGCATTATGATAACATGAATATTCTTCTCAGACTTATTCTGTATCATATATAAAAGCGAGTAGAAACTTAGAAATGTCTGGGAAAATTTATGTCTTCGACGTACTTTATAATCTTGGGATTCTGCAAGATTTCACCCCCAAAATGCTTGAAATCACATTTCAGGGACTCTAAATTTTAAAATTTTCCCTGGGGTGCATGCCCCCGAGAGCGTACTTTATAATCTTCGGAATTCTGCAAGATTTCACCCCCAAAATGCTTGAAATCACATTTCAGGGACTCTAAATTTCAAAATTTTCACAGGGGTGCATGCCCCCGGACCTCCATAGATGGTCTCGCGCCTTCGGCGTTCGCTTCGCCCCCTCCAAAAAAAATGAAGGTCTGGCTACGTCATGATGGCGCAGAGTAAGTATGCTTCGCTATTAAACGCAAAGTTTAGTTTGAACAAACAGATATGTTTTATACGCCGATGCATACTAAGTAACGAATAAACCCTAATTTGATCATTATCAACATTATGAAGTTAACTGATCAAATTTCGATCGCTGCAGTCAAAAGGCGCCGCTTCACATGCCATTTGATAAACATAACATAACCCTTTGCGACCTTTGTGCACTCATGATTTCAGCAATCATTACGACCACAAAAGCGATATATAGTACTGTATAGCTATGTTTCCCGCATGATCTAGAAACCCACGACTAAACACTAATGTCGTATAAAATAATTTGTAAAGCCGTGATTTTCTAACTATCAGTATTTTCTGCATCGTGGCAAACGTTGACAGACGGCCAATTTTCTTATGTGCATGCCTACGGCAGCAAACATTTTTCGCACAGATTATTTTCCGCTCATTTTGAAAATTTCTTGCGCCTATGGCTCCTATCGTCTGCGCGAATTTGATTACTGCGCGAATTTGAACACAAGTATTACTCCATGCATGGCTGGGGAATATAAAACCGGAAAATATTTCAACATTAATTTTTATTAATAGTGATGAAAAATAACACTGACACGTCGAAGTGTCACCCCGGATGTCGGGATTTGCTTTCAGTTCTGGATCAAAACTTGCGAGAAATTGTCATTCGAACCTTACTTGCGATTAAACTTTGATTAACGCATACACGTGCAGACGAGCTTTCTCTTAAAAACGTCTTCAGTTGCCGCATTGCTGTAGGGTATAAAACTTGTGTGAAATGGAAGTACTTCAGAGCAGAATAGAAGAGGCTGGACTAAAGATTTCCGGCGATGATGGGCTATGTTTTTATTCGGGTGCTGGCTTTCAGTTGGGGTTGTCTTCCTGGACTGTGCAGAATATAGTGCTTGAGTACTTGGAGAGTAACCGTTATGATGTAAGTATAGCAATTTTCTTCGATCCTAAGATTTAGTTTGATGATGTGATAAAAATGTGACTGTATTGCCTCGCTTTTAACTCAGGAAGCCCCAGTCGCATATATATTTTAGATGAGTTGTAAAATGATCAGTGACTCAGGTGCGAAAAATGTTTGCTGCCGCAGGCATGCACA